AAATGGTAAGCCGAAAGATAGCAATCAAAACCGGCGCACGATAGTGCATGGTTAATGGTTGTACAAACTGAACTGAACTAACACTGAATGATATGGCTGGGTGTCGCAAACAGTAGTGCTCATGCATCCACTCATTATTCCTCTAACACCATTCTATATGAATTCTCCACCTTCCGCTTGAATTTGCTTTCAACATTCCAATTTTCATTCTGCTCTTTTATCCAAATGGGGCACCAAAAGACAGCAACCAAAACAGGCGCACGCAAGTGCATGGTTAATGGCTGTAAAAACTTAAACTGATCTTTTGTTGGGCTTGGGGTTTGTATCTGTTCGTCAATCAAGCACTGGAAAACGAGCTAGTAAGGATATTCAAAAAGCCGCCAGAGTAAGAACGTGCAATGTATACACATGTCTCATTCCATGAAAAAATAGGGTGAAAAACTACCGGAATTCCGGAAATTCGGCTTATTCACATATTTTGACAGGATCTACATTATTACTCGAACAAACGAGAGTTTTACCATTGCATGTTACTGAATTTGCAAGCCGACTTCACCATTTCATGTTCAATAGTTTCGTTGCCATTTTCAATTTTTACTTCCCTTCATTGTGTATACAAAGGTCCGATTTTCAGGAAGAGTAAGTGGTCATTCAAACGGCTGATATACAACATAAATTTGGGAGTCAGGCGGCGGTGGTGGGATTCGAACACATGCGTTCCGGTGTGATAATTTGGTGACGTTCCCACCGTGCGTAATGTGCTTATTAACATAAAGTGAGAAATTTAAGGAGTCGATTGTCCAACAGATGCTGCAAAATTAAAATTCATTTCGTGATGATTGTAAGCATTTTCATCATGACGAATATCTTTATTTCTTTCCGGAATAATTTATGAGCATAATCTAGGCATCAAACAGTGAATAATGGATGTGCGGTGAACGAATGAGGTGGGTGAAATCACCGATATTTGGAAATATCTGATTCATGCACGCTGAAGCACATTTATTGAATTGCTTGGATATAGTATCCGATTAAATGTGATTGAAAACTTTTACAGTTTTTTTGTAGAAAACACCAACAAAGCACAAAGCGTGGTAAAATTGGGAACAGTACACAAAAAGGATAATAGAGAAATAAAAGACTTTTCAGAATCCTTAAGACTCCATCCGGTAATATACGAACGACCAAAAAACAGGGCAATGTTACAGGTTACTAGAACCTTGTATCCCTACTGTACATAATCCATGCAAAGAAAACTTTCCAGGCCAAAGTTTTATTCGCAGTAAGTCTATTAAGATACTGGGGTAAGAAGAAATCGCAACAAAATTGGTAGTTGGTGCGAAATACGCAACAGCAAAGAAGGGAGAGCACTTTGAGTAACCAGGGAAGAAAAGATCGATTAACGTGGAGCCAGCGTTTCCCTATATGGCTAATTTGTAAACAAAATGTGTTGCGCAAGTTTGGTACGCCCCGTATAACCTTGCCCACTATGACACGCGGCTGGTTCGGATTTTACCGCATTCAGTCGTTCGAACAAGGTCATCCGCAAACTTCCCACCTATATATATTTATACATTTCACACTTGTCTGAGGACAGCCTGTGTGCCAAACAAATCATGGTACAGTAATCTTTATAAAAAAAGATGTTCAATGATTGGCTTGTGAGCTGAGTAGTGTCAAGCTGCCCAAGCCAAGGCAGGTGAATTTTCTTGAGGAATCCACCACCGGAGCCTTCGGCTAGCCAAAGCCTGACCCGCAAGGCGGCGGGGCGTTGCGAAAACCGCAATCCATTGAGAGCCGGTGTCCAGTTCATCGGATCATACGCCCTTCGGACGAGGTCAGACGTCCAAGGTGCCCAATACACCTCAATGCCCAATCGAGCTGGTGACTACTGTCACAATCGAAAAGGTGTGGGTGTGGTTCATAAGCCTCCTCATGGTTGGTTTGGAATCAGGGTTTTTGACCAACTACCCTAGGTAAACTGCCAGTGGTCCACCACCCGGTTATAGCCCTGGATATCGGCCTTTCGTTCTCTCACTCTGGCGGGAAAACAACTCCGCCACGAGAAGGCAGTGAGTAGGGCTTCTTCAGCAGAAGCACTTTGAGACGCTTGGTCGTATGGGTGCAAGGCAGGGTGACCAGCCTTAACCCTAGACACCCACCCCCGACCATACTGAGGCTTTTGGTACTTCTGATTGCATTCTACTTCGGAAGCACAAATCCACAGCAGAACTGAAGATGCAACCACAGTCTACTTGAAGCTATCTGCTGAAAACCCTTTTGAAATGCAATCTTCCATGCATCGGTTGAAGTTAGCTGTACGGCGACTGCAGCTTATTATAAAAAAATAGTAAGAGTAACCATCTCCGAAGAATTTTTTTCTTTCCGATGGAATCAAACAATGCGCTTGTCCGATAGAGCGTCAGTTCAGAGTTTTCTTTGTCTGTGAATCGAAACCTCACCGAACGAGGAGCGGCCAGAAAGAGGAGGAACCTTTCACGTATATGATAAACCAAATATACTGATCATCCTGACAACCGCGACAAAGATAGCGACATAATCCACATGAAACTAATGCGAACTCGATAGGTGAATCTCTCCACTAGTTGACAGGTTGTATGTCTAATAAAGTTTCCCGCAAACGCAGGTTTTTACTACGGGGCATTACATAAATTGCAAGGAGCGACTACCAGCTCACCACATAAAAAATCACAATTGTGAAAATAGGATCCCACAATCGTTATTTTCCGACAGGTCGAAATGAATAAACATGTGCTCAACGCAATTAGTTTACATTATTCCTCGCGGCGGACTTCAATTTATCGTACATACATCACTGTGTATGCATCCACGCAAACTGCATATACTAGCGAAAATGCCTTTGCAGTTACGATTCACGAATTATTTTTTACGAAAACAACACTACTCACAAGTAGCCAAAGTTGTAAAGCAGACTTTATGGTTGGCAATGTACCGACCAAATCGCGTGTAATCGTTCTACCAGATAAGGAATTTCCGATGAGCATGAGTGATAAACGTGGTCAAAATTGAATTTAGGCGCTACCTGAGCATATAGTTAGCTGACTAAACTGATTGATGTATTTGACGATGGGGCCTGAAGAACGGTTAGCCAAAATCGACGACGGCCAGAGGAATAACAATCGGTGGCACCGAGATTCTGATTATGATTCGAGTTAGGGTGTGATTTAGTCAGTCTTCTTTTCCACAAGTAGGAGTTGCTGTTTCATATAGTCACTCGGTGACGAATGTACTTGTATTTGTATGTTTTGCAAGTCGGTATTTCAGTCCAAAAGTGCTTTGAATGACAGTGTAAAGAAAAGAAAACACAAATGGAACTGAAATGAGACTATGGCGCGGAAAATATGAAATCCCTTTCTTGTGCGTAAACCACTGGTTACATTTTTTCCCGGTTGACGCGCTGGATACCGAACAGGACAATTCCTGTACACACTAACATATGGAAGAAGTAATCGGAATGGGATAAGCGAAGTCACCGAAGGTTTATCAAGCTAAATTTCGGCACACAATAACGTGAAAACCAAATAACTTTTTTGAGCAGTTCATTGCGAGGAATATATATATATATATATATATATATATATATATATATAT